TACACTGTACAGTTTTTGTGCCATCTTGTCTGACACACGAACACGAATCCTAGACACACCAAGTATAAGCCTATTCTTAACCCTTTCGTGGATTGCTGAGCCAATGAAATTGAGTTATGTAAATGAAAGTGTGGGACATAGCTCTGCCAACAACATTAAGACGACCGGGTTCACTAGTTCTTCAAAGAGTGCTCTGCTTTATTTATACTAACTAATGCCTGTGGAAGAAAACATTTTAGCAGAGGTATTTATTCAGAGAACCAGACCAGAACCAATCACATGATGAAATGAGACCCTGAATTTCATCATCTTGCCCTGCAAGCAGTATTTCCTCACTGAAAGCTTTCCAATGGCCAGAGAGACTCATTAAAATTCTGCTGGCGTTTCCCATAACAATATTACAAACCAAAGCTGCAGGTCTACTTTCTTTCTTGATTTGGCCTGATATTATTATGACTTTCTTGTTTTTGGGGTCAGAATCTCACTGTGTAGCCCTAGCCAGCCAGGAACTCGGTCTGTAGACCAAGTTGGCCTTGAATTCACAGAGATCCACCTACTTCTATTTCCTGGGATCATAGGCCCGTGCTACCACATCCTGCTGAAAGAGATTTACACCGAAGAGCCTTAGTTATCATCTGCCAAGCAGAGTCATCCAAAAAATAAAAATTTTCCCGAAATTATCAAAATTAAAATTTAAAAACCAAAGATTTTAAAATCTGTTTCCAAGAAACGATTTGCTACCAAATCCCTCTTGCAAAAGCAAATAAGTGAATTCACTCCACATGGGGATTTGTGCACTTAGCAGGATTTTCTAAGTGACTCTGGTTTTTATTTCACTCTGCACAGTTGGCAGGTAGACAGTTCTGCTGTTAAGATATCATTTCCCCAGGGACAGACCTAGCTTGCTCATTGGCTCCTCTGATCTTCAAAATGCATTACAAATTGCTTGAGTTTGAATGCCCTATGTGCTTTTTAACTAGAACCTGTACTTCAGTGCTTTCAAATAAGAAACAGTTTTTGGTTTTATTAATTTCCAATAGACAATCAAGGCAATAGTCTTCAGCAAGTCCTGTAGTGATTCAAACCCACTTATCTTTCTTCTTTGGACATGCTCTACCCACTTAGAAGCTCAGAAATTTCCTACTGCATTTGTATTGTGTACTTAATATACAAGTTTGAATTTTTTCATTAAACTGATTTTATATGTGTGCACACACATATGTGTTTGTGACTTGTGTGCTCATGTGTATATGTTTGGGTATATGTTGTGGGTATGTGTGTATGGAGTTTATGGGTGGAAATCAGGTCAGTTTTCAGGAGTTGTTTTTTTCCCTGCACAACATGGGTCCTTGGACTCAAACTCAGGGTGTCAGGCCAACAGCTGGGACCTTTACCTGCTGATCCATCTTGCTTGCTCCAGAATGCATTTTAAATAGATTTATCATACAGTGATTAAAATTACTTAGATAAGATGAACTGTGGGGGATACAGGAAGTTATACCATACTTAAGGATAAAGTTAAAGAGAATGAGCAAGAAGGAAAAGAATACAGAAATAACTCTTTTAGCATGAAGAAGACTGATAAGTTGTCAAATGTTAAAAGTGTTGAAAAGTGTTTAACAGTGCATCAGATATTGTAAGAAAATCGAAGAATCAAGCTCCCAGAGAAATGAGACCAGTCAAAAAAGATAATGAAGTGTAGACACTTTAGTTTTAGGTTTCAGTAGAATATCTACTGGGGAATATTTAAATGCAATTGAAAATTGGGTTTATTTGTGAGTTCAAAGTCAGATACTCCAGAATCTCACAGGAGTCTTGGGAGGCAGAAGAGAAAAAGGAGCTTTATCTGCGACGAGTAAACAATCTAGAGGGGAAGATTCTCATGCAATTTAGGGAAAGTAAGTTATTTCCTTGAAGAGAAGGGTCGGTACTCTCTGCAAGAAAGAAGGGGCTTCTGGTGACACCTGAAGAATGGTCACTATCTCGATCACATCAGAGTAAGATGGAAGAACTAGAATCCAGTTAGTTGAAAAGAGCAAAGCAAAGGAAGAACTCAAGGTGGAACCCAGGAAGGCCATTAACGAGGAATGAGGAGAAGCAGCAGGTAAAAGAGGTGCTGTGAGGATAGAGATGGATCAAATTAAAAAACTGAATTTTAAGGCTTATTACTTTAAATTACATGTTTATGTACTTATGTATGCTTCTCTGTGGAGGTGTGTGAACATGAGTACACGGCACAGAGAGCAGAGCCTCTTTATCCCCAAAGAGATAAAGTCACAATGGGCTGTGAGTCACCCATCATGGAAGCTGGGAACAGAACTCGGGTTCTCTGCAGAAGCAGTATGCACTCTTAAGTGCTGAGTCATCTCTTCAATTCCATGAAGCATTTTAGGATGAGGGAAACATAAAACTATTTTGGGGGGAGAAAACACTCTTTTCTACTAAAGAAATATTTGAAAAACCATACTCAATCCCATACTTTGGAAGGCATATGTTTTATCTCATAAAGTCTAATTATCACTGTCTATTTTAGGAAGATATATTCAGTCATGACTGAGGTACAAAGACCTCATACACTTTCTTCTTTGAACGCAAGGCAGCTACATTGATGGGTCTACATTTTAGTTCCTTCATACACACCTACCAAACATTCGTCTCCATGGAAATGTTTCTGACTGTTCAGGTAACACACTCTCTGAAGAATAGTTTGAACTAAAACAAACAAACAAACAATCAAGAAACACAGAAATTTTCCAAGTAAATGGTAACTCATTCTACGCCCAATAAAAGGGGGACACTTTCCCATGTATTTGATGATCAGTAAACACAGACATAAGGTCTTTGGAGAATAGAAGCTCAGAAAAGGTACTGAATAGAATGATCTCATGGCCTCAGAAGGACAGGCAAAAAGAGAGAAAACAGCTCTTGTCCTAGCCTCCTCTCCAGTTCCCAGCTCTGTACCAGATAATCAAGGTTTGCCTCAGATCCTTGAGATGCTCCCGGTCCATGTGTATGAGTGGACCCCGATCTTTCTAACAAAATGATCATGCCTAGAAGCTGTGGTTCTTTTCCTGGTTCTTCCAAGAACATTTAGAAAATTTCCAATAGCCAGCTATGCAAACACATTCACAATGCCTACCCTCAATGCCGTGAACCTATCATGGAGAGAAATGCATTCTTAATGTCTAGTCACAATGCTGTGAAAAAAACATTGTCAGTGTCCAGGCACAAGGGTACAAACCTTTAATAGAGAGCGACACATTCTCAATGCCCAGTCATGAAGCTATGAACCCATGACAGAGAGAAAACATTCTTAATGCCTAGGTACAACACCATGGACCTATCACAGAAAAGGAACACATTCTCAATGCCCAGTCCACAATGCTATGAACCTATCATGGCAGCATACTCTCTATACACAGGCAAAACACTATGAACCCATTATAAAGGGCAACACGCTCTCCAATCAAATTGCTGTGCACTCATTATGAAGAGCAGGTGGCATGACACCACACTGACCTCCAGTGATGAGAAGGAAACAGCATATTACACCTTTCTTTTATTTATTTATTTTTTTCGTTTAGAGAAAAGTCACCACTCAGTTCTTTTCGTGTTTCTACACATGGTTCTACCCTGTTCCTTGTCACAAATTTAAATATTATGCCTCATTTCGTGAACTAGAGAAGATTTTACTACCCAAATCCATTTCCTAGAGAGTGATTACTCCATAAATTCCTCTCTTCTTTGAATAACAACACCCCTCTCTCTAAGCTACAATGGATATTGTGTGTCCCACTATTCTGTTTACAGCATACAACAAAGAATGCGTCCAGCTGCCCTCACAAATACTGGCTGCTGGTTCTACACCTGTGGACTCAGATTTCACTTTGAACCCTGCTGAACTCTGTCCAGAACATTGCTGTACCCTTTCCTCACTTAGCCCTTATCTTATGGCCTGAATGTGAAATGTCCACCATATGCTCATATTTGGTCAATTCTCCCCCCAGTTGGTGGCTTTGTTTGGAAAAGTGACGGAAGCTTTAGGAAAGGGGACCCTTGCTGAAGAGAATTTGTCACTGTGGCTTCACAGTTTGCTCCTACTTCATCTCTCTGTCTCTCTCTCTGTCTCTCTCTCTGTCTCTCTCTCTCTCTGTCTCTCTCTGTGTGTGTGTGTGTGTGTCTGTCTGTCTGTCTCTCTCCTGTGTGGGGGTAAAATGTAATCCCTCTGCTTTCTGACTACTCAGCCTGCTTCTAGCTCCTGCTGCCATATCTTTGCTACCATTTCCCACAGAAGTGTAAGCAAAACAAACCCCTTTCCACTCTAACTTGCTGTTTGTCAAGGTAACCTACCACAGTAGCAGAAACATGGATAATAGGCCTTGCTACTCAGTTCGATCTAATTTCAATTGTTCACATCAGTAACAAGCAGATAAATTAGTACCTTCCTCTTGTCTTCTCTGCCTATCCTGCTTAACATGCCAAGCTGAGTCTCTACTGCTCCCAAATTTCATGCCACTGCTGATATAGCAACAGCTATGATCTGGAGAGAAGAAACCGGGGAAATGGGCATGGCTTGGCCTAAGGATGAGCACATCTTGCACTCTTAGGAAAGTGGCATGTGAGGAAATCCTGCAGAACAACTCAGCTGTAGGAAGGCAGGACAATGGTTCTGCCTGGATCCTACCCACTTCTCAGTGTCCCCAAAGTGGAGCCCACTAAGACCATCTGGGTCACTGTCTAACTCTGCTGAACCTGATATAGCATATCATAGACCCACTTCTTAAGTAACCAAAATGAAAACATTGATCCATTCAACCTATTACTGAAGATACATTCTTGAAAGTTCCTTCTAAATGTGATTCCAGCATTCCTTAAACATGTCATTTGTTTTCTATGAGAAATTATATCATATCAAAATTCATGGACATCAAGCGAGCATAAATATACTAACAAACAATCATATCATAAAATAATATATAATAATAAAAATATGAACTTACATGTTTGGATAAATTGGGACTCTTTGAATCAACATCATATCTGAAAATTAAAGTATAAAATTCAAATTATTTCCACAAAATAGAGCTAAGATAATGCTTGCTAGAACACACAAACATAAAAATTACTTTGAACAATAACCAATGGGACATTAAAAGTCACACATTTTCCGTTTCCAAATCTGACACCTCTGACACCAGAGACAGAATCGACTGGAGTTCACATAACCAAAATTATGAACCCTACTGCTTGAGAAGTTGCAAATTTATCTTTTCTTTGAATCAGCAGTATCTAAGTGCCACTCAAGTGACTTCAAAACCTCTTTAAAATGGAACATTTTTCTCTGGTTATGAAAAATAAGCACGTCTTGCTAACAGGCTAGGCACATTATGCACGTTATAATTCTTCTCTAATAGCTTGAATGCTATTCCTAGAGTTGACAATTGACTGGTAAACAGAAACTACCTTTTCCCAAACACTGGACTCAGGGAAACTGTGTTTAATGTAAACGGGAATGAGTTTACATGGGAACATGATGAATTTTGGTTTTAACCAGTTGCTACTGGAAATAGATGATCTCCTAGAGAGAATCCAGAATGATTCCCTGGCCTAGAGTTTATGGACATGGCCAAAATAATCTCAGCATGTCGGGCTCCTTGATAAGATAATAAATACTGCTCTAGCACTAGTCTTCCTAACCTTTTCACACTCCTCATGCATAACTTCTTACCAGAACTGAAGGCCACCTTTTCAGGTTAGTTTTCTCTCTCATCTAAATAGCCTTTTCACAGAAGATAGCATCTCAACCCATGGTAGGGAAAAAAAAGAGAGAAAAAGGAAAAAGGAAGTGTATTTCATTGAGTGTACCGGTATGCCTTGTATGCCCAGTGCCCAGTACACCCAATACAGCCTATGTGCCCAGTATGCCCCACCCCAAATGGCCAGTGTACACTCATTGTGTACCCAGTTTACCAAGACTGGGAATAGAGACAATTACTGCCAGATGAAAAACATTTACACCAAACTAGTTTTACAACCTCATGGTGCAAACCTACCTCAGAAGAATGAGAGAACCCTGTCCTTCATGCCAAGGCATGCTCATCAATTTCAACAGCTGTGTTCCAGAATTGAAACTAGCAAAACACCCACCTCCGCTACACAGCTATAGATATTAGCACAGAAATATTTCTTAGCCAAGGAATGACAAAGTCTAGATGGTTAAAGGGTAACATTAAAATAAATAACCACAATTCTTTTTCTTTTTCTTTTTTTTTCAAGACATAGTTTCCCTGTGCAGTCCTGGCTATCCTGGGCTCACTCTATAGCCCAGGCTGGCCTCAAACTTACAAAGATCCTTTTGCCTCTGCACTTTTATCCCAAGTGCTGGGATTAAAGGTGTGGCCAACACTGCCCACCTAAGGATAACTTCAGTTTTTGTGGGGGTTTTTGTTTGTTTTGTTTCTGTTTTTGTTTTGTTTTTGAAACAGGGTTTCTCTGTATAGTCTTTGCTGTCCTGGACTCACTTTGTAGACCAGGCTGGCCTTGAACTCACAGAAATCTGCCTGCTTCTGCCTCCCCAAGTGGTGGGGTAGTTAAATGATAACATTAAATAAATAACCCAATTATTAGCACTAGATCTGAACCAAAGCTGTGCTAGATCCTTCTCCACTACCAACCCAGAAAAAATGTCCTCTAGGCTACTGTGGTCTGGGGTCAGGAACAAAATTAAATGGAAAAGGCCAATATTTTCATCATGACATTACCTTCAAAAATAAGAGTCTTTGCCTACTTAACAAAGCTCTTATTTTTTACTCTACTTCCCCAAAGTCGGAAAAATCTACATAATCTCTCTGGAGATCTTAGATCATCTGCTAGTCTATAAAGCATTAAAAATTTCCATGATACAGGACTTGCAGTGAAGGGATAAGGACACGAACCCACTCACAAAACCTTTGACCCAAAATTTGTCGTGCCTTCAAGATGTCCAGGAACAAAGATGGAGCAAAGATTGAGGGAATGCTCAGACAAAAACTGGCCCTACTTGAGACCCATCTCATGGGAGAGAACCAATCCCTGACACTATTAAAGTTACTCTGCTGTGCTAGTAGACAGGAGCCTAGCATAGCTCCTCTGAGAGGCTTCACACAGAAGCTGATGGAGACAGATGCAGAGACCCACAGCCAAACATTAGAGCTTGGGGAGTCCTATGGAAGAGTTGGGGGAATGAGTGAAGGAGCCAGAGGAGTCAAGGACTGTACAAGAAGACCTACAGAGTCAACCAGCCTGGGCCCATGGGGGCTCACAGAGCCTGAACAACCAACCAAAGAACCTAAATGGCCTGGCGCTAGGACCCCCTGCACATATGTAGCAGATGCACAGCTTGGTCTTCCTATGGATCCCCCAACAACTGGAGCGGGCTCACTCTCTGAGTCTGATGCCTCCCTTTGGGTCCTGTTCCCCTAACTGGGCTGTCTTGTCTTCTTCCTTGGTAGGAGAGAGTGTGCCTAGTCCTGAAGTGACTTAATGTGCCAGGGCAGGTTGGTATGGGAGGGACCTCCCCCTCCTCTGAGAAGGGGAGGGGAGAATGAGGGGTGAGAGTGTGTGAGGAGGTACTGGGAAGAGGGCAGGGGTGATGCAACCAGGATGAAAGCGAATGAATAAATAATGTTGTAAATGGCCGTGATTACTCTTTCTTCTTATTTTTTATTGCAGGACCAGAAAATGCACTCAGAGCTCCATGTATGTAAGTATTAGGCAAAGTGCTCTTAGAGAGAGCCATGTACCCAGACTCTTAATCCTTTTTTTTTTTTCATTTAAAAATAAATTTATATTGAGCCAAGTCTCACTACATTTCTAAGGCTATCCTTGAACCTGAGACGCTGCTACTTCAGCCTGTTGAGCAGCAGGATTCCAGCAGGAGCCACCAGCCCTAGCTATGTTTCTCTTTTAATGGAGTCTTCTTTCTAACCTTTGTAAAAAGATGAGGACTGTCGGGTCCTCACAGCCTAGAACACAACCGCTGCACACTGTATGGCCACAATGAGAGAATAAATGGTAGGGCAGGAAGGCCAGGAGTCACCCGGGAGGTTCACCCCTCTGGGTCCATGGTAGGAATTTTATTAAAGGTAATTTTGTCAACATACAGGCCATTCCTCAGATGGGAGTTTTCTTCTATTTTCCAGATCATGTGGCTGAGTTAGCTTCAGAATCTGGACTGCCTGTGAGGAGTGTAAGAAAAATCTCACCTACCCAGGGATGGAATATCCACTCTTAAGGTACCAGCAGGGGGGAAAAATCAAGAAAAATTATAGGAAGGACATCCTGTAGAAAAGTTATAGGAAGGACTTCCTGTGAGCTGAGTCAGCTTCATTCTGGGTCACTCACTACAAGAAGAGCAAGCTGCTTTCAGTATCCCTAATGCTGGTACTTAGGGAAGCTCTACATTTTTTGCAGGATTAAAGTCCACATCTCTGCCTATAAACCCTCTCTCCCTTCCTGTGCTTCCTTCTCTTCTGGAAGTCCTGGAACAATGGAGGGAAAAGCAAAACAATGATTAAAAGTAAATAGCCCCCTGACAAATGAATAAGATTGTTCTACTAAAATAGTGATTGAAAGTTCGTGAAATCAGGACTTTCACATTGTTGTTAGGCAAGGGAGAAGATCGAATGGACACACTGGAACAATAGTTTATTTGCCCCATAAAAATGTTGAAATCCTTCAAAGTAAGGGTGTGTTAATGTTATACATGTCATGATCACCACTGTCTGTCTGCTCAAGAAATATTTTACTGGGCCAGTGAAATCTAGAGTCATGAATCTCTTTTGGGGTTCAGTCTCCATGTGAAAGAATGGGTAAAAGGGTCCTATGTTCTCTCTGTACCCTGGCATCTCTCACAGTGACTGGGCAATTCTATGCCATACTAAAAGTCACTGTAGTACATGCAGCCTTTTCTACCAATAATAAAGTTTTCAGCTACACTAATAGCACATTTATGGGACGACTCTATTGTTACAGTGCTGGGAATAGTGAAAGTAAACATCAAAGCTTTACACATTAGGTCCAGGAGATAAGGATGTTCTTATGCTGCAAAACTTATAAATATTAAACACATATAAAAAGTCAATCATAATCAGAACAGCAAAAGGTACATGGAAAAAGCAAAACGATAACAGACTGGACCAGTCGCCTCAGGAATACAGGCGGGTTCTATCTATCTATCTATCTATCTATCTATCTATCTATCTATCTATCATCCATCCATTCACCCACCTACCTACCTATCATCTTTGTCTCTATATGTCTGTCTTTATCCATCTCTCCCTTGTTCCCTAAATTTTTCCTATGCACAGAAAAATGGAACGGTAAATCTTTCATGATATGCTTTGCTAAGATAATATGCTTTGTGTGTGTGTGTGTGTTTGTGTGTGTGTGTGTGTGTGTGTGTGTGTGTGTGTGTGGTGTGTGTGTGTGTGTGTTTCTGGGAACTGATCTGGGGCTTCTATCACACTAACCAAGAGTCGTGCCTCTGAGGTCTCAAGAACAGACACTCAGAACTGTGTTTTACTTCTCTGATGCTGTACTATCAGCTGTATGGGTTAATCTTCGTCCTCAGCTTGCAGCCACTCAGGAAGCCCGCCTCTCCACGCATCTCTGAGGTTTCTAACTAGGCTTAACTGAGGAGGGAGGAAGGCCCTCCTCGAATAGGTGTGGCCTGATTCCAGGAGGCAGGGCTCTGAACTAGACATAAGAGTAAAAGAGAAACTGCAGATAAGTACTGGCTGCTGCCTGCCTCTGCTTCCTGCTCAGCATCACAGACCAAATGGCTCAAGCCAACATGCCATCCAGAGACAGACATCATTCCTCTGAACTGTGAGGCAAAATGAACCATTCCTCCCTAGTTGCTTTCTGAGATGTTTTGTCACAGCAACAAGAGTATACCAGCATAAACCAACTAAATCCAAGACAATTCAGAGAGTCACTTCCAGCTCTTTGCAGGCTACTCAACACTGGCATGCTATAGAGGGGTGATTCTCGCACCGCATCTGGCCACGTCATACTGGTGTGCTCTGGAGGGAAGATCCTTGCAGGCATGTTCTGGCCACTGCGCACTGGTGTGTTACGGGTGGGCACCCTTTAAACAGCTGTCAGTGTCAGTGCATTGGAAGGAGTATTCTCAGCTCTCTAAGTCATGGGAATTGGGAACCACACTTGATTTTTCATAGGACACTTTGTCCATTCATTATTCTCTGAGTAATTTAAGATTAGCATACATTTTTTTTTACAAGCTATACACTTAGAACAGAAAATGTAAAAGCCAACCACATGTCATATATATATGTATATGTAAAGTAATGAAGAAATGAAGCCTTTGCTTATTTATTTCATTTATATCATGAAAAAGATCACAGTATACAAAGTAGCCTAATATCAAATATGAAATATGAGACATTTCAATAAAATAAATCAACAGAACTAAATGCCACCAGAAGTACCCATGAACTGAGAATGTGTGAGTTGCTTTCCTTGAGCTCTGCAACTAGCACTTTCTAGTTTTTCCAAATATATAAAATTGAGATATTATTTGAACTAAAATTCTGAAATTTTAATAAAGTGCTATTTAATTCAATCTTCCAGAATACCTTCATTGTTCAAGGACTATTTGCTTTCTGTGAGACCTGTAATTTCTAGGTGGTTGAAGTTACGGTGTATCAGTCAGCCTGCCTTAGTTCCTTTTTTTTCCACACCGTCTTACCTGTTCCTGGAACAGCCACAGCAATGAGTACTAGATAAGGAATGATTCGCAAGACATGAACCCAAGATGCCAGTAAAGGAGGACAAAGGGTGACAGCAGGGGAGAAAGCATGTAAGCTGTCACCTGCCAAAGGTAATGGATGTCTGTCATCAGACAGCAACCAAACCCCTAGGAAAATAGTTCTAACAGTCAGAGAAAAGAAAAAACAAACAAACAACAAAAAAAACCCCAAGAGATCAGAGAAGTAACAAAGACCGTACATTTCCAGGCTTAGTGTCAACAAATCAGAACACATAATGGGTAGTTCAGGGGGTTTTCTTTTATACTTGACTCTCAATACTTTATCCCCAAATGCAAATCAGAGTTATAATAGATGACACTGCATTGCAAATAGGGACACTGTTCCAGGTTACCTGTATTGGTAAAAGTAGTCAGTAGAAATGAGCATCCATAAATGGTAAAATACATTATAGTCTTGCAATAAAAATCATGTAGCCCTCCAAAATAAAGGAATTATAAAGCTATTTTGTGGCACAGAAAAATACGTGAAAACTTAAAGATACAGTAAAATACATTTGCCTCAATTCCCATATGCATATCGGGTTTAAAGAGGCTCTGATGGCTGACGCAGTGAATTACTTATCAGCCTTTTTTATTGTAATAACGGAATTTTTATTTTGCAAATAGTTGTATCACTTCACGTTTATAATAAATAGCTATTACTTTTAAGTGAAAGAAAATAATGTGGGTAGATGTAAAAGAGAAAAAAACAAAAGGGAAACAGAACAAAGAATGATGAATTGGTGACTGGTTTTAGGATATAATCAAAGAGGAAAAGTTGAGGTGGTGTCATGATTCTGTGAGAGAAGAAGAGTTTGAGAAGCAGGTGCTGTAAGCTCTGAGCAAGGGGAGCAGTGAGCCTCCTTCAAACGGTTTTCACTAGGTGTTAAGTAACAACAGCACAGCCTCCATGGCCAAGGGTGGGCAGAAGCCATTGTTGTGTTGTGCTTTCATCTCTCATTGCCCTCATTTGATTATTTGGAAAGAGGCTTAGGGGAAATAAAAGCCTAATGTGAATATCACAAAATTTGCTTGCTAAATCTGATGAAAATCCAGCACCCTTGAAAGAAAGCATTACAGATTATTTTGTTACACTTATTTCAGAGTAAAATAAAAACAAGTACTAGCAGGAAAGAACTTTTTGTTAGGAGGAAATAAGATAGTGTCATCTTTTGCTGTTAAAAAGTACTCATAGGTATTGAGAGGATAGTATGATTTTTTTCAATGATTTGAGCAAGCATTAACCTTTTAAAATACTTTTGATATTCATACGTATTCATTTTTTTATATATAAGGCAAACAGTACATTTATATTACACAGAGCTTCTTAAATACAAATACACATATTTTTCTGCCTCCACATTTCCTTGTACCCATTTCCAGACCCTGTAGAACAAGGACTCATTTATAGCTGATGACACCTTTAGTAAAAAAAAAAAAAAAAATGGCACCATGTTTTCTGTTGACAGGGAGCTGAACTTAGCAATAGTACTTTAATATGCTTGGTTTGGTGTCAAAATTAGAAAAATATATAATACCAAAAAAAAAAGAATGCTAGCTCTGTCACCCTTGGCCTTAAAAGCATGAAGTCTCAAGGGAAGCCATCAAGGGACAGAGATACAGTGCTAGGCTAGCAAACCATGAGTATTAGCAAGCCATTGCCATCAGCCATTAAGCAGACGTGTTCCTTATAGTACTCTAACGTTGAAGAAGCCCACTGGGTACAGGTAGGTTTGAAAGCCCAGCATGACTAAGCTGTCCATTCACCTATTCAAATCATATTTCAAAACAGTAGAATAAAAGAGCTGTGATCAGTAGATCAGTACTGTGCCTCAGTCTCTGGATAAATAGAATAGAGCTGCCTTTGTGTGGGACAGCAAGGTACTCTGGGCCATCTACACAATCCAGACTGTGCTACTCAAGCAGTATTTAAAAACCACATTTGTAACGTCCTGTTTTAGTAGAACTTACAAGTCAAAGCGAAGATTCTCTCTTTCTTCAAAGAAATAGTCCAGAATAAACTTTCTTACAAAATCAGGATTCAAAGTATTATCAATCACTTCAGTTCTTCCAAACTAGAGACAGAAATAGAAAGGCACAGAGGTTAAAAACAAACCATACATGGTGACTCGCTTCAAAGTACAGTACTAAGTGTCAATTTTCCTTTAAAAAATGAGTAACGGACACCCGGTTGACTTGATCAAATACATTTCCAGAGAAAAAGGCCTGAAGATCAAACCATCACTCCAAGTTGCTCAGGGAAGGAAGCATGGGTTCACTCTAAACTCAGCTACCCTGTGTAGGACACGTTGCTGTGAGAGTACATCACCCTCCTTTTTGCTAGCTTGCAAACCAAATTCCTTTCCAACTGAAAGATTCCATGTATACAATAAATTTATTTTTGAATGAAGCACTTTGTAAAAATTCAGACAGATAACATGTATTCTTAATTAGTGGGGCCAAATACCAGCCTCAACTTTTATAGGAAACAGCACTTCACACACTAAGGCCTATTACACATGTGTTAGGCAGAAACTCTTGTAATTATTCTGCACTTGGAGCTCAAACATTACTTAATTTCCTTTAGATCAACATGTTCAAGGACACACGCCAATCTTGTATGTTTCTAAAAAAATGCAAATTCTTCAGGTTAGAAAACATATGTTTCTCCATTTTGAGGAAGTGGAAATCAGAGAACAATTTGGACTTTTCTCCTCTACATGCGAAAGAAAGCCATTAGACAGTCAGCACAAATACACACATCACAACTGCTTTTGCCCTCAGTGAATAGTCTTCACCTCCAACTGTCATTTTAATGAGGGGATTTTAACCTTAGCTGTGAATTCATTATGCAATCAAGCAGGCAGGCTGTCTCGCTGGAGAACCTGATTTATTAAGGTTCCAGGAAGTATTATCTTTTCAATAGAAAAATGAAGAATCAAGCTCATCCATTCAATTTGAAGGCCAGAGGCTTCCTCGAGCTTTATATTAAAATGATTTTAAAAAATAATTATGACAAAGTATTTATTTGAGTTATGGGCAACTAATTGTTCTCTCACAAAGATAATTTGCCCACTGTACAACACTTTATGTCATGGACCAATATCACACGGACAAACTGTAGTCCACGGTTACTGTTTGTATGTGAAGTGTGTCCTTGCAAGAGGCTCATACACTTAAAGGTTGAGCTCCAGCTTGTGGAACCATTTTGAAAGGTTCTAGAAAACTCAGGAGGTGAACCTAGTGGACAAACTGAGTCACTAGAGTTGGGACCTTGGAGATATTTATTCCCAGTCCCTTCCTTTCTTCCTGTGACCCTTTTATCTGTTTGCTGCCTGCCATGCGAACTACTTGCCCCTCAGGATTTCCCACAATCCTCTTTAGGTAGCTTACATGAGGAATTCTAGTCACAGTGACTATGCCAGAGAACAGGGCTCTTGCTGTGACTAAGCTTAATACAGGGTGCTTAGACGTTTGAAGCAGGTTTGTGAGAGGAACATGGAAGAGTTTGGAGAGATTTGCCAGAGAAGCTCTAGAGTATCAGTTCTGAGCTTGTAGGTCATAGGAGTCTCCTAAGACCATCAGCAATATCAGACATTTTCTTCACAATTCATAACAGTAGGAACATTGCGGTAATGAGGTAGCAACAAAAGTAATTTTATGGTAAAGGTGAGCACAAAATAAGGAACTGTAATAAAGGGTCACTGCATTAGAGAGGTTGAGAACCTCTGCTCTAGAGCATTGTAAACAGAGCTTAGTGGACGGTTCGGAAGACCAGCATACTGATAGAAATGAGGACAGTAAAGGTTGCTGTCTGGCACGGAACTTGCAGAGATCTACTGTTCATAAGGGTCTAGACACATGTGAGAACTACAAGTGGAAACTGGACTAGAGCCATTCCTGTTACATTATAAAAATTAAAAAAAAGAAAAATGATCTAAGTTTTGTCCATGCCGTAAATGAGGCTGAATTCCAAAATAATGGGCTAATTGATTCGGTGGATGAAATTCCTCGACAGCACACATTTGTGCTATGGCGTGGGTTTTGATGGCTTATTTAAAGCCAGGTTTATAGGGAGAGCCAAGAGTGAAAAGAGTAAGGCAAAGCGATTTGGAAGAGCCCTCTGATCAGGAAAGGAGCAAACTGGAAGTGAAGATCATGCAGAGTAGGGTTTCTAAGGAGAGAAGCACCGTTAAGAAGATGCCATGCAGTCAGGTGTGATCTATCACACCTTTAATTCCAGCACCCAGGAGGCAGAGAGAATGGCAGATCTCTGCAAGCCAGCCAGAACTACAAAGTGAGACCCTATCTCAAAAATAAAAAAAAAAAAAAACAACAAACAAAAATCCCAAACAAACAAAGCCTCTCACTTAGCGCAAACACAACAGGAATGATGCCCTGAAAGCCGCTCAGGCTCACTGTAGGCTCCATGTTATACAATTGTAAATGCACTTGAAACGAGTTTGCTTGAGAAGAGAAAATCTACCGGGTACACTGTTCCTACACAGCCATCTATGGATGGCCTCTGTGTTGAGAAGCAGCTGTAGCCATGGTCCAAGAGAATCTGGACCCTCACCGCTTCTAACTCCTGAACCCAAAACAGCTTCCAAACCCAAGTGGAAAGCCTTGAGCTATGAAGGCATCCCGCTCAAACAGAATTCCACCTTTGTCCATACTCCCCAACACCTATCCCTCGTTTAACTTCAACCCAAATCTGTCCTGAGAAGAAAACTGAAAGATAAGAGTGAAATGTCCTAGCAGAGGTTCTATTGAATTGCTGGCTCACAATCCCTCAGTTCAGTAGCCACTAGCACCCTTACTGGTATGTTTCTTGTGAGCAGCAGTGGAGGCTGAGTATATTCTGCTACCTCTACTGAAGATTAATGTCCAACTATTAAAATTTTGGCATTACCAAATTGAAGTGGAAGTTTTTTGGTTTCTTTGGAAACTCAGTTGTGTCATGTGTCTACGTTTTTTGTTTTGGTCCCAAGTGTTGGAATGTGGGAATGTTTTTTCCCCCTGTGAAAAGACATGTGATGTTTGTCAGCTGAAAACTACCTCGTGAGGGGCGTGGTTTTTGTGAGCTGCAAAACATTCTTGTGTGGGCTCTGAGAAGGAATAAAAGAAGCACACAGACAGTGAGGCAACGCTCTGATATCCTGATGACTGAGTTTGGTAATCCCCAAAGAATCCATCTACCCTTACCAGGAAGAAGAAGCTAAAAGAGGTCCACAGCCCCTTCCCCTACTAATCTCCTTCCTGAGGTCAGGGTGTGGGAAAGGAGGCAGAGATGTTTAAGACCGTTAAATAAAGTAGGTGTCTGAAAAATCTAAGCCTACAGCTAACCATCTATAAATCGTGATTATATCTGTCTCAATGTGTCTTCAGACACATGGCCCTGACATTGCTTGGGGGGATGACAGCCATGGCCTTCACGATGCTAAATTCAGTGTCAGAGGCCCTCACCTCATTTGGCCTCTCTGCCTATCTGACATAGCCTATCACTCTATCCTTCCCAAAGCATACTTTTCCAGCTTTTTGCCTTCATGATTAGCTACACTTTCCTTGTATCTAACATCCTTAGGCATTCAATTCCATCTTTACAGAACACACATCTAGGCTCTCATCTCCCAGTATGCACTCTTCTGCTAGGTAGTGTCATCCATCCTTGTATTCACACGTGTCCTCTCCAAAACTCAAGTATTGTCTTGTGATGATATAAGGGTCATAAACTTTCCTCCCCTGAAAATGGGATTAAGGCCCATCACTTACCCACTTCCACCTTCTACCATGTTAAACAACAACAACAAAAACACTACCAAGATCCTCATTAAAAGGCACTTTGATCTTGAATTTCCCAGCGTCCAGTGAGAAAATAAACTTCAGTATTTTATAAGTTACACTGCCTCTGGCATTCTTTCATAGCATTACAAAAGAGACTAAGACTGTCCATGTGACTTTATGACTCAACCTACTTGACAGTGACCTCTAAGTCTATGTGACCAGCCCAAGTCACCTTAGTGCAGACTCATGCATACAGCTGTTTTCTTGAGTTTCGCATCTGGTAGTCTTACAGGCTCTTCAACATCATCATCCAGTAATAGAACATTACCCATGCCCTCTCTAATCCTGGCATTTTGCCCTACCTGCTGCCAATCAGTGATTTTATACTGCACTATCCAAACATAAAGGGAAGCTACTTATACCATTAACTTCCTGTTTAACCTACCAATGCCTCTTCATCACTACTCCCTAAATTATCAATTTTAACTTCAAAACATAGTCTCACAATGGTCTGCTTGATAATTCCCGATTACCAATTTAAATTCAAGATTATTGTCTTACTGTGAACTATCTCAGGGGTTTTCAACGCCTATCTCTGTCTCTCCTTCTGTTTTCACTGCAAATTACCCCATATCCAACAATCAGAATCATGCTTAAATAATATAAATATCATGCCTTTTCAGCAGACTGAAAGACCTAATGGCTTCACAGAGCACATCAGAAAAACTCTTTTTGGTCTATGGGACTTGGCTTCTCTCAATGATAATTACTCCATTTTTAGATTTATTCTATTTCATTATTTTACTTTATTTATTTGTCTCTCTGAGCCTGGTCACCTCAGTATGTTTTTAGTTCTGTTTATTTTCCTGCTATTTTCATTTTTCTTTACAACCCAATAAAATTCCATTGTGTGTCCACATTTTCATTATCCATTCACCAACTTATGGATATTTGGACTGGTTTCCTTTCCTGGCTCCTATAACAGAGTATTAATGAACACTGATGAGCAAGTGCCCATGCGGGAGAATGCAGAGCCCTCTAAGTATGTTACAGATGCTTCCTACAGCAGATCTATCTTTACATTTTTGAGAACCTCCGTGTGGCGTCCAGAAGTACTGCATAAGTTTACACTCTCATCAATAAAAATAAGGGTTTCCTTTCCCCCAAATTCTTGATAGCATTATAGTTTGGTTTTTGATAATTGCCATTCTGACTGGTGTGAGACACCACTTCAAAGCTGTTTTCATTTGAATTTCCCATATAATTGAGGATGTTGAATGTTGAATGATAT